ATGGAGATGCAGGCTTTTGACAATGGTCACTGTTTTGGCAAAGAAAATTAATCCAAGCAGGAGACCAATTTATAGTTGTAAGATTTTTTTCCTATGTAGAAGGTGGGGAAGAAAGAATTGGGAAGTAGCATTGAAGAAAAACAAACCTGCCTTTTGGGTATTCTTTTTAACATGCTGAAGTCAGTGAAATTTTAAAGAAACCACTAAATATGTTTCCAATTTCAATGCTGATGGGAATACTCAGGTGAAAGAAATAACTAGTAAGGCGAATATGATCTTTTACAACACACGTAAACATTTAGCTCACCCCTAGGATAAGTCAGGAAATAGTGCTGAGAGTGGTTTTTGTTTAATTCAAACAGTATGGGTTAATTAAACTAGGATTGGGCTTCGTTTAGCTTTGCCTTGTTCCAAGCTCTTCACAGGGATCACTTTTTATTCCATACATTCCCTTTAGTCAAATATTTGGGCAAATAGTTGACATAATCGGTTTCCCATAAATGCTTGTGTAATGTCTGGGAGGCTCTACAGAGCAACAAAGACAATAATTTGAAAGGACTTTTACTCTACCCAATCAGCATCCCCTCTAGGTTCAATTTAGACAACAATGAAAGCATCGTTAACACTTTGTGTCCATGAGCTTGCTAAGAGCCATCAGAACTGTGAGAACTGTTTTTAGAAATAAACTTTATTATATAGTAAAACCACAGTTAATACAAAGTAAAATTTATCAAGTCTACCTGTAGGTTCATGGTCCAAGTGCCTTGTTCTACAACCAACTTCTCTCTGGGTAGAAACTGCTAAGCCTAGCTGTTAGGCTGTATTCATGGGCTTGAAATTTCTCTGGTAGTTACTTGGGAATCAAATTAACCTTCATCTCTTGCAAGCAGATCTCTGGGTTTACAGGAGTACATTCCCACAGCTTTTGAATTCAAGGATGAAATGAAGTGAACTGACGGGAGAACAAATCCATTCAGTTCTCCCTAATTCGTTCTAAGTCTTCCCCACTTTAATTCATGATTCTGGCACTGATGTTTGTTTGGTGGGACTTTGTTTTAGCATAGAAAAGCCTTGCATGAGGGAAAAAAACACTCTTCAGTTATCTGGCTGGCATATCCCTTTGACCCAGGGTGACCACGTGCTATGAAGCCTGCTTGCTTCCACCGCACTTCCAAACAAGACTGAAGTCCCACTGAGCCTACTCCCCATTTCCTATGAAATAACAAATTACATTTCTTCACTCTCCCCTTCCCTTTTCCTCCTCCCCCCCTCTTCTTCCCTTCTTTTCCTCTCCCCTCCTCCTTTCCCATTTGTTAAGTACACATCAGATCTGTTTTTCTCTGCTTTGTCTGTTACTCACAGCCCTCCTTCCTAGTGTTCCGTATGAGATCATAGTAACATCATTTTCAAGCCTTTGCCTCATCACTGCCCTATCAGTTTCCTTCTTTTCCTTATGTTTTCTCTCCTCTTGCTTTGTGTACAAATTAGCTTTTTTTCTTCCAAATGCCTATCCTTCAATCAGTCAATCAGTCAATCAAACAATCAATCAATCAATCAATCAACCAGTGCTTTAGAAATCAAGGACATATAGACAGAAGCATAAATTGCTCAGCGTTTTCTGAGTAATTATATTCTTTCCCCCCTCCTTTCTCCCTGGCTTTCTGCAATTTGCATGCCACGAGGCAGTAGGCAGTTTTAAAACTATTCTGGCCTTTCTTGTTTTCTGCTTCTCCTCTCTTATAAACCATCATTGCCATAGAGCGGCTGGCCGTGACCTTCTGTGTTCGAGGTTCTGTTCCCTGAGAACTAAAAATAGGCCTAATCTTCTCAACATGTGAGGATCCAAAAGGGGCTCTTTGATTAAGAGCTGTCTCTGCAGCCTGGCATCACTGTCCTCAGGGCAGCCAGTCAGGGGCGGGGGCGGATGTGGTGAGGGGAGGCAGATCTGCAGCCGTGCCATTTTTTATGGATGACTTCTTGTTTTGTCCCCAGAGTCCAGCTGTTTCTTGACTTCTGTGCTCAGTTGAGAAGGCCACGTCTGTAGGCAAATAATGTGAAAAATAGGCCAGTAAACATATGTTGTTTTGGTTCTTTGAGTTAGAGAATTAATTCAACTTTTTCGTTGTTTAAGTCAGATTTCATAAATTGTATCCAGATACATTTCACCGGGCATCAATAAGCAAATCTCTGCCCTGACCTCCATACCCCTACTGAAGAATAAGCATCACACACAGAATTCTTCTTCTCCCCACCCCCAAATCATTGGTTGCCGTTGCAGGGGTGAATGAGATTCCAGTTGCTGGTAGTGCTGATAGCCTCAACACCTGCACATATTTGAAATCTGCATTCAAGTACACACTGGGTCAAACCCTAACCACATGTAGGTACACAGCCAAGTTATTGGATTTCTTGATGATGAATACAAAGCAGACAGTGCACCAGCCTGGGTGCAGAAAGGGTTTGCATAAGAATGAAGGAATGGTGCACATGCCTGTGGAAGCTATTGACTAACAGCATCATTTCTATATGTGAAAAGAAAACAGCGCAGTTTTTATTTTTCTGGAACCATGGGAAGCCTTACAAAACAGGCTGTACATCTTCTACACATTCAGAAATGTGTTAGTCAAGGCTAGAACCATATTATAATGATTCTTTATCTTGTCACATTTGTCCTCCAAAGCAAACATCACAATATGCCAGTCATTCAGTTACTGGATGAGTGAGGGCTTTAAGTACAACAGGCAGCCCCGTGTTTTATCTTTTAAACTTCGATTAAATGAATGGATGAGGTTTAGGTAATAGGATATATCCTAGAAAACACAAGACACACCAAAGCAAGGCTGTTTGTGTTCAGCAGGAACTCTCTATACCATAAAATACAGAGTTTAGTACTGTATGGAGTATACTATGGAGTCCTAGCTTTGTTAACTTTGGTTTCAATATTTAAGATTTCTCCTTGTTAGTCAACTGACTTAAACAGGAATTTCCAAGCAGAATAATTCCTCATGGTACAGAGATAAATAAATTAAAATGTACTGTAATTTTGTTTGAAACATTAGTAATACTTAATATCTTTCCTAAAGTCATCCTTATGAATTCTTCTCAGTGAAGAACAATGCTTCCTTTAGCCTGGAAGCTACCAAGTTGCTTACATTTGCCTCTTCTTGGCAAGGCTTCTTTTTGTTATATCCAAGATTTTCTATGACTTTATAATAACAATCTGGTTTTGGGTGCTGTTTCCAGTGTTATTTTTATATGAAAATATACTTAGTATTTAACCCAAGTGTAAAAGATGACATAAAGTTTAAGATTACCGGTATAGTCAAATGCATTTGCTATCACTATGCTACAATAACCTTAATCAGAGTTCTGCTGAGACCTGTTTAAGTCAAGTCAGTTCCTTTGGGTCAAAAGGATGAAATTTACCTCTTGCCCTGGGTGGAAATCTAACATTCTAAGATACCCAAAATTTAAATTTAAGCCAGCTTAGCTTGTAAATTGCCTGCAGAGATGAAGGCTTACTCACCTTAAGTTATGCTAAATGAATGGGAAAAATAATTTTCCCAGAAACCCATCCTCTGTACAGTTGACAAGGGACTGTCATAAGACCATATTCAGTCTCTTCCTCCTCCTGTTTCTCTCTTTCTCTTGCTTTTTCCAAGTACTGGCCAGAACCACAAAATCACATTATTTTTTCTAATACTTGGGAAATTTTTACTCTTTCTATGAAACTAACTCCCTTTTGTCATGTGGCCATTTGCTAAATCTCAATATTTGGTTTTTTTAATGAAGAGAGAGAGGGAGAGAGAGAGAGAGCTCAAAAAGACAACTTGAATTCTGGAATTGTTGGGCATTTGGATCAAGATGTAGAAACCTAGTGTAGCAAACACACTCCCTAGAATCTATGAAAGTGACCCTTGCAAAGACTCCCAATGAAGGTGGATAAGGAGCCTGAACAGGGCACAGTCCAACCACAAAATCTTCCACACACAATTTTTCCAGTCCATAAGATGTGCTGGAGTAATGGTGGTGCAGAACTTGTGAGTAGCCAACCACTAACTGGTCCAATCTGAGGCCCATGACACAAGAGGGAGCCCACATCTGACATTGCCTGGATGGCCAGGAGCCAGAGGCTGGATAGCCCAAAGACCTATGATAGAACCAAACACAACTGCAGGTTAAAAAAAAAGAAAAATAGTTCATGAAATGATTTCTAAAGATATTCTGCTATACTGTTAGATCAGCACCTAGCACAATCATCATCTGAGAAGCTTCATTCAGCAATTGATGGGAGTAGATGCACCCACAGCCAAACATTAGGCTCCAGAACCAACTAAGCGGAACTCATAAGAGCTCACAGAGACTGAAACAGCAATCATATGAGTCAGAGCTAGGTCTCTACATATGTGTTAAGCTTGTGTGGCTTGGTGTTCTTGTGGGACTCCTGACAGTAGGAGTGGGGGGTGTTTCTGACTCTTTCGTCTGCTCTTAGGACCCTTTTACTCCTACTGGGTTGCCTTGTCCATCCTTGATATGAGGGTTTGTACCTAGTCTTACTGTAATTTATTAGGTCATGGTCAGTTGATATTCCTGGGAAGCCTGCTTCTTCCTAAAGGGAAACAGGAGGAGTGGATCTGGGAGATAGGGGAAACAGGGGGAGATGGGAGGAGTGGAAGGCAGGAAACTGAAGTTGGGATGTTAATAATAGGGACACACCTTTCTCTCCTCCTGCAGGCAGCTACTGAGATTGACAACTTGCCTGCCTTGGGGTTTTTCTCTTAAACTCTAATAAAATCTGTTCTTGAGACTCATTCTAAATTTATTCTTAAATTAATTTATTAATGAGTCTAAAAAGCCTGGGAAGGTGACCCCAATATGGTAGCCAATATGGGCACCTCCAAAATTAACAACTGAGAGAGTGTGTGAGTGTGTGTGTGTGTGTGTGTGTGTGTGTGTGTGTGTGTGTGTGTGTGTGTAAAAGAGAGAAACAGCAGAGGTTGCATTCTTCTAGCTTGGAATATTAATGACAGTTTCTTTGTAGTGTCTCTGTACGTGACTGGAGATGCCATCATCCCCAGATGACGTGAACTCACAGTCTCTCTACTATGGATTCCCTTTCATCTGATGAGGTTAGAAACTTCCAGGACTTTGTCATATCACCATGGACAAAGATTGCCTCTATTTCACAGCCCAGTCACACTTATGGTAGAAAAAAATCTTCCTCTGCACCTTGAAAGTGTTTTCCCTGAAACGAGTTGTTCCCTTGTGCTTTCTGACTCTGCTGAAACCAAACAGTACACACAGTCAGTCTTCAGCTTTCCAGGGGTGGAGAGTATGCTCCCGGAGGATCCCCTTAGACAGTCCATCTATCACTTTTCAGTGCTTAGCTCACTATGCACATGGAGTTGAGCTCTGTCAATTAGCTGTTTTCTCCGCCAAAAGAAATTTTAAGAAAATAGGCCAAACGAACAAATGTGGACAGACTAAGCAAGTTTTTCTATGTTGTCTATATTACTACTCAGAATGTTTAAAACAATTGCTCCTTTTCATGACTGGGTGACTTATCTGATTGTCACTCTGGATCCAGCACCTTTTCTTCATTGTCATGCTAGATACTTTGGAATACGGGTGTGCACTAGTTATTTCTGCTAAGATCCTTGCCTCATCGTGTTGGACTTGATCAACGGGAGGCAGCAATGAGAGAGCAGGAAGTGGAAAGGGAAAACCATTCTCACTTTTCCTTCCTCCATTCTGAGGTATGTCTTCAAGATTGTTTGCACTTACTTATGCAGGATCATGGTTTCTCTCGCTCTTTTTAAGTGTCTCCTTCCTACTACTATAACTTTTAGTGGTTTGGGAAGAGATAGGCATCTTACTCGTTATCCTCCAAACCTGCGAGTGATGGCTGTTTAAACAGCACTGCTAGTTTCTGAGTGTCCTACCATTTCCTATTGCTCTCCTATGTCTGCACAAATGTGTTTGCTAATGTGGACGTAGTTTTTCTCCTGACAATCCAAGAGTGGAAACAACCCAAATACCCATCAATGCATATTTTATTTATATCCACTTCTCACAGTTTAAGAAAGCATGGATTTGCCGGGCGGTGGTGGTGCACGCCTTTAATCCCAGCACTCAGGAGGCAGAGGTAAGCGGATCTCTGTGAGTTTGAGGCTGGGCTGGACCGATAGCCTCCAAAACAATACAGAAAAACCCTGTCTCGTAAAAACCAAAAAAAAAAAAAAAAGCATGGATTCAAATGAAGTAAACATGGGAAGTCGAGGAAGCAAAGCAAGGAGGATGGGCATGGGGATGGGAGTAAAAAGGAGATGTGGAAGGAAGGGTGAACATAAAAGAAAGAGGTAAGCATGGAACAATGAACAACATTTCTCAAGATCAGCAAAGCAGGCTTAAAGGCCTGGCTCCTCCAGGCACCCTGCCATGCATTTAAGCCTTGGTCGTGACATCATAAAGAACCTCTATAGTTTTCTTTTTTATACTCCCTAAAGCATAATCAGTACCCCAAACAGGGTTAAAAGTTAAGGGAACAAAAGATAGACTTCCAAAGTAGCTGTGAAAAGCTAACCTCGTAAGATATATAGTATTATGCAGTATATTCTACCTAAAACCTACTACTTTTTAAAATGACTCCCTCAGGCTGCCTACATTATTTCACACCTACCAAATAAAAGGATGAAAAAAAAGACAGAAGAAAAATTGAACAAAGGATGCAAAACAACTCCTGTGGTAATTTTACTCTTAACTCGAAACTTTTAGAGCACAGTAGTATTCCAGGCAGCTGAACAAGTAAAAGCTCAGGAATACGCTGTACCTCAAAGCCCTGTAGGTGGTATTTACTGAACAGGATGAAGAGGATGAAATACAAACTCCTTCCCCAGCTACTCAAATTATCATCTAAAGAGCACATTAAGTGTAATATCTGCGTCTTCTATGGACTCATAATGCATGAGTGCTAATGTCATGGTCCAATCATCAATATTGGTAGAATAGCTATACCATTTTTTTCTCTAACCCCCTCTTTTCTTGAGTATTTTTGTTGTGATATTTCTAACATTTTTACAATATAATAATCCTAATATCAAAATCTACCAAGAAAAGAGGCTTTTTCCTGCAACATACAGCATTACTTGAGACCAATACTTTCTCAGGATATTTAGTTTTACCAAAATAATCTTTTTGTACTATTGCCATTATTCACATTATTGGCCCAAATTCTTCCTCTGACAAATGGCTAGTTATCCAAGAAAATGGATACAGTGTTACTTATTGAGAAATCAAAAATCTTTAGGTTTGAGTAACTGGTGTCTCTTAAATGAATATAGAGCTGAAAATTATTTACTAAATTGATGCTTATCCCACTTTCTTTCCGAGAGCCTAACAGTTACTTAGGAATGACAGGAAGCTTGCTAAAGGCCTGTTAAAAAGCCCGAATCTTCATGGGCTTCTACAACATGACTCATTATAACAAAGGAAGACAATTACATGCTTTTACACCCATAACTTATCTAAGCTGCCATGTACTCCAGTTGTCTACAAGGGCCCAGAGCTCTTGGAATTTGAGGCTTTCTCCTGAGATTCTGTGATAAATGCTTAGCTGGATGAACAAAAATTTAGCTCAAGTACATCATATGATGAGGACAAACTGAGAGAAATGCTTCACCTAGGCTTTGCTCTCATTTCTCAGGCCTGGTGGATACAAAATGTGTTAGAAAAGATAAGTGAGTCTTCCTTAACATTTCAGCTTTACATTAAGTGACCATGACTTGAACCTCAGCTATACTTTCAGTGGATTCCCTTTGCGATTTTTTCTTTAAGCAGGAGCCAGGGACTGCATCATATTATTATAATTTTTAATAAGTTTGTTATGACTGTTCCTATTAAAGATATGCCTTCTTCTAATCCCACAAGCCTCCAATTTACTCATTAGAGAGATTGATGTTCTCAGACAGCCACTGTTTTGGTGACATGCTGACAAGTGGTGACAGTAATAGACAGTCTACAGTAATCTGCATATCCTTGGCTTCTGGGCATGTACTCATGCTATACTTTACATGCATCTGACATATATTTTAGTATGTGAATGTTATATTTGTAGTAGGAGCTTTGGTTTTATTTTTTCCAAATCTCAACCGATAACAACAAAATGTCTGTTGATAAAGCATCAGCGGTTGAACTGGCAAGTCACACATAGGAAGAACAAGATTAAAAACCTGCTCTACGTTTATAGTATTTATTTCTCTTTTGGATTTCTGGTTCCTTCGTTCATCCCTAAAGTGAATTATTTTCACATATTAGTGATAAGCTATCACACCAACTACATAAAAGGGATAGGGAAATATAAAGAGAGACCGAAAATAACTTAGTGTTTGCTAGTGGGTCTTTTGCAGCCATGTTTGTTCCACTCTGGTGAAATCAAAGAGAGCACAAACCAACATGCAACAAAATGCTAAATACACAGAATGCATCTCTGGAAAGCTCTCTTGCTTGGTACATCTTGCTTTCTCCCCTTCCTCATTGCCTACCTGTTTCCTTAATCACATTGGTGAGAAGAATTCTGTAGAAATGCTATCAGAAGTTTTCTATAATGTTGATTACTCTGGCACTATTCAGATGTGAACAATTCAGGTGTGAGAATATGAACAAGTACAGAAGGAAAAATGAATGAGACAAAGAAGTGAGAAGGAAAAGAGGATGAGAAGGAGGAAGAAGAGGAGAGGGAGGAGGAGAGAAGACAAGGTGCAGGAGGAGAAGTAGCCACTCCCATCTGGGTTCAGTGAAGTCCTAAGTGTCAGAAGAAGGCATTGAGACTTAACAACTCTTGTCAAATTAGGATGAAGGTGCTAAATGAAGAAGCGAGCATTTTGAATCACAGTCAGTAAGCGGAGAGCAGACTGGAGATGATCTGAGTCTTTGAACTCTCAAAGCCTTCCCTCCGTGACGTGCTTTCTCAGGCAACATACCCAAACAGTGCCATCAATTAGGGACCAGGTATTCAAGGTTCTAAGGTTAAGAGGGATATTTGTCATCGAAAAAAACCACAAAGATCATTATTTCCCTCAATTCACTTTAAACATGTAAAGAGAATAAAAGGAAAAACAATGTAATTAAGCATGAGCAGGAAGAAACATGAGTTTTGAAGATCAGCTGGATCCTTCTCCATGGGATAGTTGCTGTAGAAAGCCACAAAGCTATTCATTGTCCCACATTCCTAATGAGCAAGAGGATGGGCACAGATATTCACTAGCAGATGTGTGTGGTCAAGGTAACTTGTGCCCCTTCTCTTCCAACAGTAAACAATCATGAAGAAGGCTTAAGAAATGGATGACTTTCTGTTATTACATGCCAATAAGATGAGAGCTGAGGTGGAGAATGGGGGAAGAGCAAAATTCCCTATAGATGGTCTATCATTATCCTTGTTATCCCAAACTTTGACTTTTTGTGAAGAAAGTGATTTTGAGAGAGAACCATTAAGAAAGAAAGTTGTTGTTTACAAAGAGTCTGATAAAATAGGTAGAAAGTCTTTTTATAACCAGGCAATCCACCTATGAGCATGGCACAAATAGAAACTTTCTGTTAAAGCCCAGGAATATAAATGGAAGTAAATGGCAGCATTATTGCATGAATAAATGAGTTAGTCAATCAATCACTGACAAGGCACACTCTGTAATCAAAAGATTTTTCATGTTAAGATTAATTTCATTTAATACCATTCTAAATATTGCATAAGCCCCTTTGACATTGAATTATATTTCATAAGACAGAAGGAGTACTTTTAGAAGCCAGAGAATGGTAGACAGTCAGGAACGATTCTCTAAGATTTCAGGGTCTGGGTGGTCACAGGCACAGGTTTGCAAATGCTTTAAAAGTCATTGACTAAAACTGAAGTGACTAGCTATGGGTGCTTTTTAAATGATGCTAGTGGCTGACAATATTGGTAAAGTCAAGATTATCAGGAAAAAACTCCTTTAAACTTAGATCTTACACATGAAACTTATACCAAGTAACTACAGAATAGTGAACAGATAGTCCTTCTCAACATATGAATAATAACAAAATACATTGAATGCATATGCACTGTTTGTAGCATCTCATATTTGATCCTGAAGCCAGTAATAAGTACCATACCAACATAAGATAACTTGAAGTCAGTTCATCCCATTCACCCGCCTTTTGCCATGTAGACTCAAGAAAGACAGCCTCATCTTGCCAGTATCAGAATATTCTTCTCCCTGAACCAAAGCAAGAAAAGTCAACAAGGCTGCTTTAAATTCACAGTGGTGCTATCCCTCTGAATTAAAGGATGAGAAACATGTAAAAACAATTTTTGGATTCTGTCACTAAATTACTATAAAATAATTGGCACAGGACTGTCTCTACTCCCCTCCAGCTGCAGTCATCCTCATATAGGAGAACTCTCATGGAGAACTTACTAAGAATTACTTCTTACAAACAATTTTCTGGTCATTTCTTGCTTCCTCTCTTAACTTCTATTTTACATAGATTTTTCCACAACTGAAAACATAGAAAAAAGGTAAACTTTCATAAATTCACACTGTTTCAACAGAGAAACTTAGTTTTGTATTTCAACCAGAGCAGATTTACTCCCTGGGAGACCCTTGACAAATACAATTGCAGTTTATTACTAGATGTGCAGTATAAAATTTTGGTAAAGAAAAATAAGAAGGCTATGCATGGATTTAAACAAAGACAATCCCTCTTTACCAAGTGTAAAGGTTTTTAAAATTTAAGAAATTTTACTTATGGAAAATATAGAGAAGACATTTTTCCTTAGTCTGCATTCCCCATCTCTTTACAGAATAGTAGATTCCTAAGAGTTACAAGTCCTTCTCAGGATAGTCTTGTGGAGTGAAAAGCTGCACCTTAAGGTGAGTGAGAGAAACCATTCCAATGTTCTTAGCATCAAGCACAACAAACCAATTTAGAAACAGACATCCTAGTACCTGCCACTGCCCATCTAGTCCACCCGGGTTGCTGAGGACAGTGCTTGGACTGAGTTGCTTGTGACCTCTGTTTTCTATTCAGATGTACCCAATCTTCAGAATAGTGGGGCTTTTAACCTCCTCTCCACTTTCTGCCTCATTTTATAAACTTTTCATAAAGTCAGTGACTATGGGTCTGGATGGGTTCTTTACCATTTATTAGAGCAGAGATGTTATTTATTTCATGGGTGAACAAACTCCAAGGAAGAAGGAAGACTCATCATCCACCTGTAATCTGGAGAAGGACTAAAACTTGCATCCGGCCTCACATTCTCAGTCAATGCTGTCTGCTTTCTCAGAACTACATCTCTGAGTCCACAATGTGTGGATCTATCATAGGGCTCTTTCTACCAAGAAACAGGGAATCCACATTGCTGCATTTGGAGTTTTGCATATTATAACAAGTGGCAATATCTGGCCACAGTGTATTCAAGTTTTTAAGATGGCAGAAATAAAAAGACAAAAAAAATGTTTAAAGGATCATTAGAACTGGGGATATGGCTCAGTTGGCATGGTGTTTATCTGGCAGGCACGAAGCCCTGCATATTGCTCAAGCTGTAATCCCAACACACAGAAGTGGAGGCAGGAGGATCAAAAGTTCAAGGTCATCTCAGCCAACTGGAAGCCAGGTTGGGGTGCCTGAGACTCTGTTTCACATCAAAGCCAAAGAAACATAACATTGCAGGATCTTTCCCCCTAAGAGTGGTTACCAATAATGGTAAGTGGAATGATGCACTGAAAGTCCTTCCTAAGCAGCTGAGCATGTGTTCAGGTCACAGCTTCCTACTCTAGGAAAACCCAAATTTACAGGCTTGTTTTTGCATTTTTCAAATAGTTACATGTATTCCTCTGGGGGAGAAAACAACTCTGGCATTCAGATGACGGTTTGGGATGTGTTCTAAGGATGCTTTCTTGTTGTTGTAATATAAGGAGATGACGTTTATAAGCACCTTTGTGTTGGTGTGACAAAGCCAAGGAATGTAACTTTCTTACTGTTTTGATAATACATCCAATATGGTCATTCTTCCCTTTAAAATGAATAGCCCGTGCCATGCAGAGCCTCAGTCCTTGTCAGCATTGGCTTCTGGGATTTAAAGACCGTTTCTAGGAGCAGAGAGGAGCACGGTGGCAAGAGCTGGATCAGGACTGGCATTCCTCTTAAGAGGCAGCCTGTTGCTCACATCCCTGTAATAGTTAATCATGTGCCATCCACTGCAATTGTCTCTTTCTTGTCTATTTTGGCCATAATTTAGAAATATCTCTATTTTTTTGGCTGTCGGGAAAGACAAGAATCAAGAGTGTATGGACCCTATTTTCAACATGATTACTCTTTAAGATTTTTTATTTTTACATTTTCAATTAAAATAGAATTATGTCACTTTCTCCCTTCTCTTTCCTCTCCAACTCCTCCCATGCCCCTTTATCTGAAATTAATAACATGCTTTTCTTTACAATTTTCCCTCGTTATTGTTATATGTATCTGTGCAAAAATATATACTCTCTGCTGAGTCTGGTTTTGGTGGTGTGTTTATGGTTGCCCACTTTGTATTGACTGGCATTCTTCTTAAGGGGACAGAGCTGACTGAGCAGCAGCCAAATTCAGTTCCATCCCTATCTAATTACTGTTTTTGTATCAGAAGAAATAGTGTTTTCAATTTTTGAGTTATTAAAATATTATCATTAGCTGATCTTAAGTCTAAAGGTGGTTTTAGTATGACCAAAATGTTTTCACAAAGCAAACAATGGCTTGTGTAAGAGCAGTTAACTCTAGTTCTTTGGTCCATCTTTGTGTTCATATGTAGTTTCTTGTTTCTAGTTTTGGCTTTCAGTTGTTTGACAGACTATAAATTTAATATTATAAATTTTGTGGTCACAGTCTAGACCCTAGATTCTTAACAGATATTAATAATAACACTAGAAACATTTTTCTTGGTCCAATGGCAACCTTGTCATCAGATTGTAACCAAGAGTAAATAGAACACTCAATTCAGCCCATGTGCTCATTATGAACCCCAGAGAGAATAAATCAAACCTTTTCTTCATGCTAATGACTGAGTAGAAAGTCAAGGCTGGCAGGAAATCAGTTCTGACTAACTTATGGATTCACCTGTCAATTTATTGCTTCTGTGAACATCTCCGTAGAGTTATCGTTAGGTAATAATGAAAAGAATAGGATGCCTTGTTCCCCTTATGTTCTGGGCACTTGTGGTGGCACATAGGTTCAGAGATATTCCCCACAACAGCAGTCCATTTGTTGGAGAAAGGAAGTGTGAAACTGGGTAGAAAATTGTGTTAACACAATGAAGGATAGGTACATGGCTTAGTGGCACCCTAGTATTAATTCTACAGATTGAAATAGTCCCCTCTCCCACATAAACAACTCCAATGTTAAAAAGAGGGAAAGGGGACATTGAGAGGCAACCCAACATTAAAAATAAATAAGCAGATGAAGGAATAACACAAATAGAGAACTTTAGGAAAAAGGCTGAAGAGAAGCGACTGCTATTTGTGATAGTCAAAAGGTCTTGAAATATTTCCTGACTTCCCGAGGCTCCATCCACACAGCCCTAACCCACAATTACAGAACAGAGGAAGGTGAGAGACCTTCACCTGTGTTGGAGGGGAACGTTCTGTCTCTTCCATGGAGATTTCAATGGTGCAAATCTGGAGAGACATTAGGAACATAGATTTGAAACAGGTCTTCCTAAGAGACATGGGCTCATCCCTTACTCCTAGTCCATGAGTGTTTTTCTAAGTGCATTCTTGGGTACCTGCATCGGAATCACTTGAAAATCCAGTTCCTGGGTTCCAATATATATGTATGGAATCTATCTCCAGTATAATTTTGGTGTGCACTGAAGCCTGAGAGCTATTAAATCAGAGAAATGTGACCAGATATCCCTTCACAACATTAGCACTCAGCTGAGCTGAGTCCTTTTCATGGGAAACCCATTGTAATCCGTCAGGATTCTTCTGCATATTTGCCACTGTTCTTTTGTAAGCAAAGAGCACACATGTTACTGGCCATAAGTCCACTACTCTAAAAAATGGAACTTTCTGCAATTGCAAGTATTCTCTACAGTCTCTGGGGAAGGGCAGTAATGGGGAAATCTCAGCACTGTGATTTGTGTGCAGCCGAGGCTTATCTAAAATCAAAGGGCTGGGCTGAAGCCTACAGAAAAGGTCAATGGCCCTTGTGGGTTGTTTGTTTGTTTTTCCTTATTTCATTCCCCGTTCCTATTGTAAACCTGGAAATGGAGAGGATGATCATTCCAGAAGCAATGGCCACCCAGGGCTGAGAAGATGAACACAAATACACATACATTGATGACAATTTGAAAACTCTAAAATATATTTTTATGACTGTCAAAGTCATCATTTCTTTGACAACTTCTACTTATTATGGGAAACTGTGAATCATGCTTTTGCTTTTGCACTTACATAGATAAAATTACATAACTATTTTAATGTTACAGGCTTATTTGTCAAATTTAGAAATTCAATATGAAATGAAGTCTGTCCAATGACAATGGTAACAGAACTAACCCCTCAGCAGAGCCATTCTATAGCTAACTACACAGACTTTCTCTAGATTTCTTCGGTTTGAATTATAACTCCAGCACCTACTAGTTGTGTGACACTGAGAAAGGTATTTAATCTGTGTTTGAGGTATCCCCATAATGTTGCTGCTGCTGCTGAAGAGGAGGAGGAGAAGGAGGAGGAGGAGGAGGATGGAGAGGAGGAGGAGTACAGAGAAAGATTTCTGCCTGATGAGCTTCTTAGGAAGAGTAAATGGCTCAATATTTATAAGGTAAACTACCTAGTCCTTACAAATGCTAAGCAAGTGTTTATTCGATAGTTTAAATTATGTTAGGATAAGCCTTTATTTCTATGTGCTAGATACCATCAATTGTTCCACACACATCTCATAATTCAACTTTCTCAGCAGTTTATAAAAATCAAATTATATGAAGTCAGTAAAACCAAATAATACTGCAGTTTTTGTTTGCTTGCAGAGATCTGGCCTTATTTTTCTAGATTATTATATGATTAGAGTAAGGAAACAGAATTATAAGGGATAAAGCAGGATAGGATAGAATGAAGCCATTTTAGTTCCTCTCTCTACATTTGCCTGTAGAATCACTTGGGTCTTAATGTTTTCCTACTCCGTTTAGTGTGGTTGGGTGTATATCAACATAAGCATCCATGTTTACGTTCACGTACTTACAAGTATAATTCCATTTGGATCTGTAGGGTTTGTGTTGTTACCTTTAACCTCCACATGGAGTAATTTGACAAATTCAGAAATTTAATATAAGCTGGGCGGTGGTGGCGCACGCCTTTAATCCCAGCACTCGGGAGGCAGAGACAGGCAGATCGCTGTGAGTTCGAGGCTGGGCTGGACCAACAGCCTCCAAAACAATACAGAGAAACCCTGTCTCGTAAAAACCAAAAAAAGAAAAAAAAAAGAAATTTAATATAAAAATGGCAAAGTCACTGTTGGTCATTGCTGACAATCGCCAACAAACTTTAGCCTTCCCAGAGAGCATCCTGCGTGAAAGCCATGCTTCACCAGGAGTTGTTTCCTAGACCTGCATCCCTTGAGAAGCTCAGATGCAGGCCCTTGAATAATCATCTAAGAAAAGACTATCTGGACCTCACTCAGAGTAGAAGATCCTGCATACTTTCATGGGCCTAGCGTTAGTCACATGTTTATCCCTGTCTTTATAGTGGGTGGACATCTTTGTTTGCATCTCTCTGAACTTCAAAAGGATCTTTGTATGCAGAACTGTTACAAAGAGGCCCATGACTGTGGGAGCATTTATTTATGTTACTATGGTACAATGGAAGTAAGTCACTTTGGTTCTTGAATGTGTTCCTGTGACTCATGGGTATTTTTTCCAATCTGTTTGACCTCTGATCCTTTCCATATTCTCCCATCTCAATTAACTTAGCTTCCAAACCACAGCTGTGTCTGTTAACCAGGAATGAAGAATGAGAGTCACTGTTTCCATCCAGTCTTCAAAAGAGGTAAAAATAGTTCCCTGTTGCCTTCGTATAACCAGATATTAATGGAATTTTAGAAATGAAAGTTGTAATTTCTTCTTTAAAAAATATTTTGACAGGTCAGAAAATTGGAAAGTTAGAGACATCACTAAGATCAACTGAACTGTGTATTGTGTAGTAACAATGGGCATTATCAGAGACACTGCACACATATCATAATAAATGTTCAATACACGCTTAATTATCTTAAGAAACAACTGCAATTATCAGGATATAAAGTATTAAATGTTCAAGTCAACAAAATCTGTAGTGTTAACAAAAGAGGAAATTGAACAGCTACACGTGTTCCAGACCTCCAGAGGGCGCTATTGCATTTACACAGAAATACACTTAATTACATAAGCATCATCTTGAAATTTAAAATGGGGATTTTGAGCATATATAACTTGCTTCTATCTAAGATTAAGAAGGAATCAATAACCATGACAATAATCTGACCTCTAAACTATTAACCGAGGCTTATTTCATTTAACAAACTTCTATTATAGCCTAAAAATCAGCTACCTAATAAAAGAATGGCAAAAACAAGAACTCTTTCCAAATACTATTCACAGTAAATTTCATTTGAATTTTACATCAGTCATAGACATTAAATTTATTGTAGGTTTAAGTACACAGAGATTTAAAATCCTTTAAATAATTTTTGAGCATCAAGAAATAAAATCACACCATAAAATCAAGTTTTAAAAAACTACAGATTTTGAAAACACAAATAAAATTGTTACATAAGTAAAATGCCTTAAACCTTTGTATCTAACATTTTATATTTATTCATTTAGCCTAGGTGATATTCCCTTGGAGGATACTGAGTCACAGGCAAGCAAACAATGAATAGACGAATCAAGAAACGACCCTGTGATATGTCTGGAAACTGGTACCTTGAGAGTGAATATTTAGATACTGGTTTGAAATAGTATGACTTTTAAGAGAAGAGATGATTAAAATAGACTCATGTTATTTCTTATGAAATCGCTGACAGATTTGTTTGATTTGGGCTTTGACAGATATTACGAATTCTTGTCACAGCTCCAGAATTGTTTAAATCGTGATGGTATTTTTAGAATCATTAGTTACTATTAGAGTTTCATGTGGAAATGCCCCAGGAATAGGATAAAGAAGAAGCAAAAGACTGTGTTGCTAAATAATGTAAATTTTTTATTTGTACTTCCTATACCTTAAAATCATCCCAGCGTTATATTACAGAAATTTGTGAATGATTTTACTTCATTATAAAAATGGACTAACACAACACTCAACTCTTGAAAGCATTAATAAATCACATTATATAACAAAGGCATTAAAATAGAAAGTGATTAAATTTAAAAACTATCTCCAGATTTGTAGCATTTCTTGTTTTGAAGTAGGGGAAACCCAACCTAGGTGAGAAATGTGCAGAATAATTGATGAGCCATGTTTAAATTGAAATGGTTTAAGTTCCAGGTCAGGAAGTTAGGCAACATGTTCACTCAAATGTGAGAATCCCGCTACAGAACTTGTAGATTACGTGTAGCTCCCAGCACAGAGGCATATGTCACTCCTTAGTATCTCTCTCATAGAAGCACAAGCTAGGGTAAAAGCCATTTCCTTCCCTTTCCTTGGAGGAAGGAGGAAATTAATACCCTCTGTGGCTATGTGAGAACTTAATAACCAGGACAGGAAAACAAAACTACTGCATTTGGTTGGGCCTGGACAGATCTATCAAATCTTTAGTTTGAACTAGCCTGGATGGCATGGGGGAGGAAGATCTTACCTTAAATAAGGTAAATGGAATTTTCTTCAAGACTTAGTCACATAAAATGTTCTCACTTGATCCTATAAGTCATTCAGTAAATGGAATCTTGAGACCATGGAAGCCATAGTAAGCATTTGAGTACTTGCTCCTGAGGGCGACTAGGAGAAAGGCTGCTGATGTGTGAGAGAGGCCATGACTAAGCACTCTCATGAGCTATGTCATTTCATAATTTAAAAAGTGTGTATGTCATTCCTTTTGGCAATAATTGTACCTAATGACGGACACCTCCATGAAGGTTAGATCATGCCAGTAAGGTATAGTATTTTATGATTTGAGACTGAAAACAGTAGCCCAGAATAAAATAGCAGAATTTTTAAAGTATTCATAACTATTAAAAACCTATGGAAGCCTCAGTTTCTACACTTCTTAATTAGGAGGATATGTGGCCATATACTTCATTTATTCTAAATGCAGTCACGTATTTGAAAGTCCTGTGGAAGTATAAAGGATATGGCTGTACTAATAGGGTTTGTGTTTCTACCTCAGATTAAGATCTTGGATCTCTCAGCTTCCAATTTCTTTTTTCACAGGCAAAGACAAATTAGGACTATGAAATTGAGTGGTTTATTTCAATATTTACCCTGAAGTTTCATGAAGGATACCTTGTTCAGATCGCCTCCTTAAGCTGAGTATGACTGATGAGGTTCAGTAGTTCTGGCCTCTGCACTGCAGAAACATCTTGCATAGGCTGCCAAAAGGTTCTGGAAGACACAGAGTACATTAAGAACAAGTCACTGGATATGTAGTCTGCCAGACATTCTGAATGCTTGCAACAGTGTGATTGATAATGCCTCAGATGAGAAACTTTGTCCAAACCTCAAAGTCAGTGCCCAGTATGTCATTTTGGGTTATTTTATGGATCCATCAGAAATGTAACACACAGGTGGAGTACAAGTAATCGTGGGAGCTTCTTTTGTTTGTTTTAAAGCCACATTATTCTGAAACCAATTAAATTATCTCCATCTGAGAAGAGAATCAGCTCATGAAGCAAGGCTTCGAGTGACACCATGAAGTGGACTCGTGTATTTAGCGTATTTGTTGCTTGGAGAGAGTACAAGAAATCACTTGACCCTCTATAGAGGCACGGAGAAAGAAGTGCACATCAGTTTAACACCAAGCCCAAAGGCTAGACATTGAAAGAGGATGTTCTGATATGAAACATAGAGGGCGCTGTGAGAGGAAGGGCGCTGTGAGAGGAAGCTGATTGACATAAAACTGAGTGTCACAGTTCAAGCTGGCTTTGTACATTGTAGAATGGAGACAAGGTCCTTTCTTCTATGAGTTTGTCTCAAATCTGTCTGATACCTTGAGCCTGGAGACATTCTAGACACCCTTAAAGTCGGCACATAGCTCTTCAGTGCTCTGATGCTGGCCTAAGGGTGTGCATTCTAAAACAATCCTCTTTGACTTTAGGGAAATAGCAAATTTTATGGTTATGTGGGGGGGGTAATTAAAGTTATTAAAGGATTTTTCCAAAATACTAAGAGATTTATGCTAGGTGTGCTGTTATATGTTTGAAATCCCAGCATTCAAGAGCCTGAGCCAGGAGAATTGGCTTGAGTTTGATGCTAGCCTCCAGCAATACAGACAAAAAAATGAAAAAAAATAAAAACAAAGGAGACTAAGCATTTTCATATTTGTCACACACCTTTGACATTATTATAAAATGTAATACTTAAGACTTTGATGATTCTTATGTGCATATTTTGTAAAAATTTTTCAAGTTTTGTTTTTGATTTTGTCCATACTTAACTGATGTCCCAAATGCACATGATGAGGAGTTTTATATAGCTAACTGTCTCTGGTAGTTTATATACAACTCGCCGCATGATTTTAAATATTTAAGACACTATGCTATTAAGCTAGTAATATAATAGATTGGTTTTATATTTTAGCACAGCAAACTCCCCCATCTCGGGATGCTACTTTTATTGAGAGAAATCCACACTAAACAATGATTTAAAATGTTCATAAAAGTTGCTAGCTGAAAATGTCCCTGTCTTTTCTGTTGTATCCAGGGTCTATAAATCTGAACCTACATCTCTGTATACATAGATTTATGCAATTGGTAAAAATCTCACAATCATATTTTAAATCCTATCCATTTGTGGGGATTAGCCTACTCAACTAATTCAGAGAGGAAGGGGTGTAATAATTTCACTAGTCCTTTACTCAAGACTGTATCCGCAGGGAAATCCCACAGCATCTCATCAGCCCATAAACATTATCAGTATGCACACATCATTCAGATTCAGTTCAGCAAGTAAAGACTATACTGACCCTAGCTGTTCTTCTGTCGCTGGTAGAAAGACTCACTTTTAGTTTTTGTTTTTTGCTTTTTTTTTTTTTGGTTGAGTTATTCCAAGCTATCCATAGTCTTAATAAGATAAATAGTACAGACTTGTATCTTTCCATATAAAAGAAGCCATTAGCTCACTAAACACTCTTTTCTATGAATATTAGCATGTCAATATCACACTCAGCATGCGAACAGGTAAGAGACAGCAATCTGATAGGACTAGAGAGGACAGGAGGCTAGACAGTCTACTAGCTACCTGCTGTTCTCCATCATCCTCTGAACTCAGTTTTAAAATGACTAACAGAATCCATGATTTAAGCTTCTATTTGCCTTATTTTCAAGGACACTACCAAGATTTGTTTGAAACCAAATGAACCTCAGAGTTCATCACTGGCTAGGCCAATGTAGTTTTTATACATAAGGATATGAACCAAACACCATTTGTGCAAAATAAGATCTTTCCTATGTTCGACTCCCTTCTCATACTGTTTTTCTCACATTTTTTCTCATTCAAAATAGAGTGGAAATCTTCAGAAATGACCTATGTGATGCAGAGTTTGTTAGAGCTCCCTTCCACACGGCTTTGACATAGAATTCTTAGAGGGTTTATGTTTGAGGCAGACTTTTATCTCCTTTTCTGAGTCTTCAATTATTTGTTGTCCTATCTGACAGATATCAGCTCAGAACCTAGAAGAAAACAAAGTTTCTTCTAAGAAGAAATACCTAGGCAGCCTGTCTACAGGTTCACTAAACACCTATTCCCAATTATGTAACACATACTTTAAATGCACTAATTTTTCTCATCTCCAAGAACACAAGACTTTACAGAAATATAGATTACAGTAAACTGATGACTTAGCTATTTCCAAAAGG